GGGACTACCATGAGGATCCATTCCTTCATTCCCTGTTAACCAGAATTAAACCTACCAATACCGGTCACCGCTGAATGTCAGATTTGGGATGTTCAGGGTCAGGAGCTCTTCCTTTGATGCGTCTGAGAGCCGGTTCCGCTCCAAAACCAACTCCTGCAATGAGGGTAAAGGCTGATAGAAATAAGAAATACAAGAAACATGAATACATATGCACGGATAAAGACTAACAAAGCTAACAAATAGAAGAAATTTCAAAAAACATCTAAATGGTAGTTTCCCAAAATTAGGGGAACCCAATATATACCCCAATATATTCATCCTTATTATGGGGACCCGACAAGGTATCCCTAATTTTGGGAAGCCCGCATATATAATTTTGGGTTGCAAGCGAAGCCCGCATATAACTCTAAAGCCTACACCCCTAAACCCTACACCCCTAAGCCCTACACCCCTAAACCCTACACCCCGAAACCCTAAACCCCCGAAACCCTAAAACCCTAAACCCTACACCCCTAAACCCTAAACCCCCGAAACCCTAAAACTCTAAACCCTACACCCTAAACCCTACACCCCTAAACCCTAAACCCCTAAACCCCTAAAACTCTCAACCCTTTTGGGCTCCTGCAAGGAGGGCAGGCCCTGGAATTCCTCTTTCCGAAGCTCCTTGAGCTGGTTGCCACAGAGCCTTAACCTGGTTTAGGGTTTAGGGTTTAGGGTTTAGGGTTTAGGGTTTAGGGTTTAGGGTTTAGGGTCTGGGTTGCTGTTAAGGAACTTAGAATAAGTTAGTATGATGAGGGTTATAAAGGGTATATAGGGTTTAGGGCTTAGATTAAGTTACCACAATGAGGGCTATATAGGATATATGGGGTTTAGGGCTTAGATTAAATTACTATAATGAGGGTTACATAGGGCATATAGGGCTTAGGGTTAAGCAACTTAGATTAAGTTTGTATAGTGAGGGTTAGTTATATTTTACGACAGCCATGCGCTACCTATACTATTGCGGAAACATGGGAAAATTTCTACGTGGCCCGTAGGCGCTGCTTGCAGATACCGGCGGAAATCATTGCATTGCAACATCTGCTTAAATCCTAGGAAGTCTCTTCGAGACCCCTGGCAGGCGGAGTGGTCTAGGTATGAGCATAATACGCTAACTGCAAGCTTTGAAACTGCAAGCTCTGAAACTATCTCATACCAGTAAGGTCTCGGATGTCCTCTATGTTGTGACTTAGTGAACTTTATTCTGTCTTTAAATCCGGGTGAGAACACCACGTGCTGTCTAGGATCTGTCTGATAGGGTCGCAAAGGGCAGATTAGGCCTACCTGTAAACTTCCAGACTCGTTCGTTAGAGATAGTTATATAGGGTTTGGGGTTTAGGGGTTCGGTTGCTGTTGAGGAACTTAAATTACGTCAATATAACAACCCCAAACCCTAAACCCCAAACTCCACACCCGAAATCCTAATCCATAAACCCCAAACGCTAAACCCTAAACCCCAAACCCTAAACCCCAAACCCTATAACCAGCGGCCCAGCAGCTCCTGCAAGGAAGCCAGTCCCTGGAAGAAGCCTTTTGGCAACTCGGAGAGCTCATTGTTGTCGAGCATCAGGTGTCTTAAAGACACTAATCCTTGAAATATGGAGGTTTCCCAAAATTAGGGGTACCTTTTTGGGGATCCCCATAATAAGGACTATAGTATTTTGGGGTTTATATAGGGGTCCCCTTATTTAGGGAAACTACCATATAGGGGTTAGGGATTGAGGGGTTTAGGGGCTTAGGGTTTAGATGACTTTGTGTTGTTTTTATATGAGGGCTAGAATTTCTTTAGTGTTTGGGGTTTAGGGTTGTATTGGGCTTTTCATTTCACGCAAAAAGAAGATTAAAGGTTACCCACTGAAAAGGTAAGAGTCCATGAAGTAGGCTGGCAGGTACCGCTTTCAGCTTGTTACTATCGAGATATAGCCTTGGTTGCTATTAGGGAACTCTTCGTAAATTACTAGAAGGATAGTAAGGAAACCATATCATTACTATATAACTTAAATCAAGTTCCTAAACCCAAAAACCCCTAAACCCTAAAGCAACCCAGTAGCTCCTCCAAATGAGGCAATCCCTGGAAGAGACCCGCAGGCATGATGCTGAGCTTGTTCGAGGACATGCTCAGGTCCTTCACCATAACAACTTGGACACGAACCCTAAACCCTAAACCCTAAACCACCTTTGGGGTTTAGGGTTTTAAGGGTTTAGGGGTTGAAGTTTTAGGGATCAGGAGGTTTGCGAAGACATGCTCAGGTCCTTCAGATATTCCAGTCCGTGGAACAGACTCCCTGGCAGCGTGCTGAGAAAATTCATGGCCAGCTTCAACGTCTCCAAGGAAGCCAATCCTGAGGGAGATGTAAGGCCTCTGAGATCGAATTCTTGTGGGCTATACAAAATTATGTGGACATTGCAATGGCTTATAAGACTTCATTCTTATACAGGGATCATGGTACACAGGAATTCAAAAAAAACTAACCCCTAAACCCTAAACCCTTATCCCTAAACCCAGAATCCTTGAAACACGCCATTGGGCAAGGCAGTGATCTGGTTGCGGTAGAGCGCCAATGTCTTCAAGGACCCAAGCCTGGGTGGCTGTTAAAGAACTTAAACTAAGTCAGCATAATATGGGTGCTTGTCGAAACTATGGTACCCATTAAGGTAATATTAGGGTTTATATTAGGGTTATATTGGGGGATAATGGAAAAGGAAATGGAAACTACTATAATGGGTTATATAGGGATTATAGGGTATATGGGTGGTTGTCAAAACTATGGTTTCTTTTTGGGTCCCTATTATAATACGGCACGAAGTATTAAGGGTACCCAAGAAGGGACCATAATTTTGACAACCACCCATATGGGTATAGGCATAAGGTAAATTATAGGATTTCCTTACTGGAGGATCCCTAACTCCTAAACCCTAACTTAAGCTCCTTAACAGCAAGCCTGGTAGCCCCTGGAAGAGGCCCTGAGGCACCTCGCGGAGCTGGTTGTCGTTGAGGAGCAACTCCTCCAAAGAAGCAAGTCCTTGAAAACCTGGGTTGCTGTTAAGGAACTTAAATTAAGTTACCATAATGGGTATATAGTAAATAATAGGGTTTCCCCAATATAGTAATTTAATTTAAGTTCCTTAACAGCAACCCAGAAACTGCAGTCAGGAAGGCTGCTGAGCTTGTTGAAGTTGAGCTTCAAACGTTTGAGGGAAGCCAACCCCTTGAGGAGGCTCTCAGGCACCGAAGTGAGCTGGTTCATGCTTAAGCTCCTTGGTGTAGGGTTATATAGGGGTTGTATCATAGTATATTAGGGGGTCATGGTCATATTCTGGTGTATCATCGTATATTAGCGGTATATCAGGGCTTAAACTGAAATAAGGGTGAGTAAGCAAGTCACTAACCAACTCTAAACCCTAAGCCCTAAGATCTAAAACCCTAAAGGCCCTAAACCCTAAACCGCCTAAACCAAACCTCAAATTCTAAGGCTCAAGATCTGCAGCGAGGCCAATCCTTGAAAGAGACCCACCGGCACTTCAGTGAGCTTGCTCCCCCAGAGCCTTACTGGTGCGGAAGGGGAAGTGAGGGAAAGAATTTAGGGTTTAGGATTTAGGGTTTAGGGTTTAGAGTTTAGGGTTTAGGGTTTAGGGAGTGCAGATAGGTACCATTCTAGGGGTCTATATGGGGATCGTATAGAAATTATTGTCGGGGGGTCCCTCCCCCACCATCCCACCCTAAACCCTAAACCCTCAACCCTAAACACTTAACCCTAAACCCTAAACCCTAAACCCTCAACCCTAAACCAGCACCAGTAAGGAGCTGTAACTCCTCCAGGGAAGCCAGTCCCTGGAAAAGGCCTTCCTGGGCTGCGGTTGAGGAATTGAAATTAATGTACTATAATAAGGGTATATAGTACTGTAATAAAGGATACATAGGGATTTCTGTTTAGGGTTCAATATTTAGGGTTTAGGGTTAGTGTAATAACGAAACCCCTGTATGTATTATATACCCATTTTAGGGTAACGTAATCTAAGTTCCTCAAACGTCAAACGACACCCAGCTTCAGGCAGCGAAGAGAACAGGCTCCTGGACATGTCCAACTTCTGCAGAGAATTCAATCCGCGGAACATCGCGGTTGGGACGTTGGTGAACTCGTTCTCACTCAGTATGATTTCCTGGGTTGCCGTTCAGGAACTTAATTTACGTTACTATATTGGGGAAACCATATAGATTACCATTATGGCAACTAATCTAAGTTACCATAATGCAGCCCAGTTTCTTCCAGACGGGTTGACGTATCTTCTTGGGCTGACAGCAGCAGCGCAGAAAAACGGAAATTCTGCAACCTCACAGAGTAGAGGCGAAAAAGATGAGGACTCAGTCCTGGGTGCTGTTAAGGAACTTAAATTAGGAAATCATATTGGGGTTTAGGGTTTAGATCCCCCAATAATGGAGAAGCATCTGGAAAAGAAAACGGAAAATGAAATGGAAACCGGAGTTTAGGGTTTAGGGTGGCTGCTAATGGACTTAAGTTAAGTTGCCATAATGGGTAGTAGGGTTTCCCCAAAAAAGAAAAAATTGAAATCAAGTGACCATAATGGGTATATATAGTAAGTAATGTGGTTCCCCAATATAGTAACTTAAATTAAGTTCCTGAACAGCAACCCAGAGTCGTTCCAAGTCCTGCTTCAAAGCTTCCCTATTCCGACAAACCCGGCAATCCAGAAACAGCTCCGTCACATTTGGGGCCAACTGCAAGGCCGCCACCACGTCCGAAAGCCGCGCGGCAGTGAGCAAATTGAATCCTAGGTTCCCCAGTAACCCATTAGTAATACGGGTACCCTTTTTCCTACTGTTCAGTTTTAATAAGGAGGCCCAAAATAAAAAGGGCAAAAGGGTATTACTGGGGTACCTAGAATCTCAGTTTGTGGATCCCTGCGAAGGCGCCTGCGGCGGTGGAGACATCCGAAGGCACCTTGTCTCCCTGGCCCAGCCTCACCAAAGCAATCAGCAGTGTGCGCGGCATATCGTCGTGCGAGGCAGCGAGGGTGCTCAGGAAGCTAGCTCCAAGTTTTCCGGGAACTTTCCAGATGGCCTCAGTCAAATCGCTGCGGAAGGATGCCGCTTTCTCCTCGCTGCTCGCCGTGCCGAGGAGGTGCGTCAGCAGCTTGCTTCCTATCTCGCCCAGGGCTGCAGCTTTGTTCGCCAAGGTTTGAAGTGGTATGCTGGAGTTGGGAACCTTCTCATAACCATTCACCAAGTGCCCTCGCTGATAGCTCCAGTCATCAACACCGCACCCGTTCAGCTTGGCTTGGAGCCCACAGGCCAGCACCTGCACCCTGCCCTCGGCGGAGAGTGGAGGAGCCTCCCGAAAATGGTTCAGCTGACACCACCGCTCTGAATCTCGGCAGGCCCCCAGCCCGTCGGCCACCAGATCACAGACGTCGCAACCTTTCTGCAGAAGCTCACACAGCGCATCCGCCGACGCAGAGAGGACCTTCGGAACGCTCGCCACCTCCCCCTCCTGCAGACTTTGGTTCAG